CACGGATACTGACTATAGTGAACACTGATACTGACCATAGGTAACACGGATACTGACCATAGTGAACACGGATACTGACTATAGTGAACACGGATACTGACCATAGTGAACACGGATACTGACTATAGTGAACACGGATACTGACCATAGTGAACACGGATACTGAATATAGTGAACACGGATACTGACTATAGTGAACACGGATACTGACCATAGTGAACACGGATACTGACCATAGTGAACACGGATACTGACTATAGTGAACACGGATACTGACCATAGTGAACACGGATACTGACCATAGTGAACACGGATACTGACCATAGTGAACACGGATACTGACCATAGTGAACACGGATACTGACTATAGTGAACACGGATACTGACTATAGTGAACACGGATACTGACTATAGTGAACACGGATACTGACTATAGTGAACACGGATACTGACTATAGTGAACACGGATACTGACCATAGTGAACACAGATACTGACCATAGTGAACACGGATACTGACCATAGTGAACACTGATACTGACCATAGTGAACACTGATACTGACCATAGTGAACACGGATACTGACTATAGTGAACACGGATACTGACTATAGTGAACACGGATACTGACCAGTGAACACGGATACTGACCATAGTGAACACGGATACTGACTATAGTGAACACGGATACTGACTATAGTGAACACGGATACTGACTATAGTGAACACGGATACTGACCATAGTGAACACGGATACTGACTATAGTGAACACGGATACTGACCATAGTGAACACGGATACTGACTATAGTGAACACGGATACTGACCATAGTGAACACGGATACTGACCATAGTGAACACGGATACTGACTATAGTGAACACGGATACTGACTATAGTGAACACGGATACTGACTATAGTGAACACGGATACTGACTATAGTGAACACGGATACTGACTATAGTGAACACGGATACTGACCATAGTGAACACAGATACTGACCATAGTGAACACTGATACTGACCATAGTGAACACTGATACTGACCATAGTGAACACTGATACTGACCATAGTGAACACGGATACTGACTATAGTGAACACGGATACTGACTATAGTGAACACGGATAGACCAGTGAACACGGATACTGACCATAGTGAACACGGATACTGACCATAGTGAACACGGATACTGACCATAGTGAACACGGATACTGACCATAGTGAACACGGATACTGACCATAGTGAACACGGATACTGACCATAGTGAACACGGATACTGACCATAGTAAACACAGATACTGACCATAGTGAACACAGATACTGACCATAGTGAACACGATACTGACCATAGTGAACACGGATGCTGGCCATAGTGAACACGGATACTGACCATAGTGAACACGGATACTGACCATAGTAAACACAGATACTGACCATAGTGAACACAGATACTGACCATAGTGAACACGGATACTGACTCTGATGAGAGCAGTTCCTGAACCGGCTTAGTAACAGAAGCGTCTCTAGTTCAGTTCCAGCCATGAACACAGTGTTGTTATGAATTCTTCTCTAGTTCATTTTCAGAAGACGACCAAATAATCCCCATCCGGCTGTGTACCCCCCCCCCCCTACTGACTCACCAATATTATGGTAAATGGGGGAGCCTGTGTGGGGCTGGGACCATGGTGGGGGGCGCCACCCCGTTCATCTGGTACAGGCCCTCCCCCCTCCTCCCGCACCTTCCCGTCCCCCCCTTGTGTTGCTCCTGCACTGTTCGGCAAGATATTTCAAGATTTTCTGCAAGAATTTCAAGAATTTCAAGCTATTGTACAAGAATTTCCAAGATATTCTACAAGAATTTCCAAGATATTCTACAAGAATTTCCAAGATATTCTACAAGAATTTTCAAGCTATTGTACAAGAATTTCCAAGATATTCTACAAGAATTTCCAAGATATTCTACAAGAATTTCCAAGATATTCTACAGAATTTCTAGATAAATCTGTCACCTGTCCTTGTAGTGGCCATAACCTCAATACTGTATACTTTGTGGAGTTTGGTCCAACAGTAACTAGGTCATTGGTGGATTCCAGAGGACCGCGAAATGGAGCACTCAGTGGGAGAGGCTGACGTGCTGGGCCAAAGAGCCACAGCTCAACCCCCGCAAGCACAACTAGGTGAGTACGTGTCAGAGCGTTACTCAGTGATGAAGATTAAGCCACCCAAGAGGTGGCACGGGCATGAATAGCCCGTAACCTTCCCGTCAGGATAACATGTAGTGACTTGTTGTGCACTTCACTTGAGGTAATTACCGAGAAAAGCACTAAATGGACTGTAACTAGAGAGAACTTTAACCAGTAGCCAGAGTGAACACCAGCCACAGTGAACACCAGCCACAGTGAATACCAGAGTGAACACCAGAGTGAACACCAGCCACAGTGAACACCAGCCACAGTGAACACCAGAGTGAACACCAACCAGAGTGAACACCAGCCAGAGTGAACACCAGCCAGAGTGAACACCAGCCACAGTGAACACCAGAGTGAACACCAACCAGAGTGAACACCAGCCAGAGTGAACACCAGTCACAGTGAACACCAGAGTGAACAGCAGCCAGAGTGAACACCATCCACAGTGAACACCAGAGTGAACAGCAGCCAGAGTGAACACCAACCACAGTGAACACCAGAGTGAACAACAGCCAGAGTGAACAGCAGCCAGAGTGAACACCAGAGTGAACAGCAGCCAGAGTGAACACTAATCAGACGGAACACAACCTACAGTACAGTGAACACGACCCAGAGTGAACAATAACTCCAGTGAACACTACCCAGAGTGAACAATAACTCCAGTGAACACTACCCAGAGTGAACAATAACTGCAGTGAACACTACCCAGAGTGAACAATAACTCCAGTGAACACTACCCAGAGTGAACAATAACTGCAGTGAACACTACCCAGAGTGAACAATAACTCCAGTGAACACTACCCAGAGTGAACAATAACTCCAGTGAACACTACCCAGAGTGAACAATAACTCCAGTGAACACTACCCAGAGTGAACAATAACTGCAGTGAACACTACCCAGAGTGAACAATAACTCCAGTGAACACTACCCAGAGTGAACAATAACTCCAGTGAACACTACCCAGAGTGAACAATAACTCCAGTGAACACTACCCAGAGTGAACAATAACTCCAGTGAACACTACCCAGAGTGAACAATAACTGCAGTGAACACTACCCAGAGTGAACAATAACTCCAGTGAACACTACCCAGAGTGAACAATAACTCCAGTGAACACTACCCAGAGTGAACAATAACTCCAGTGAACACTACCCAGAGTGAACAATAACTGCAGTGAACACTACCCAGAGTGAACAATAACTCCAGTGAACACTACCCAGAGTGAACAATAACTCCAGTGAACACTACCCAGAGTGAACAATAACTCCAGTGAACACTACCCAGAGTGAACAATAACTGCAGTGAACACTACCCAGAGTGAACAATAACTCCAGTGAACACTACCCAGAGTGAACAATAACTCCAGTGAACACTACCCAGAGTGAACAATAACTCCAGTGAACACTACCCAGAGTGAACAATAACTCCAGTGAACACTACCCAGAGTGAACAATAACTCCAGTGAACACTACCCAGAGTGAACAATAACTCCAGTGAACACTACCCAGAGTGAACAATAACTCCAGTGAACACTACCCAGAGTGAACAATAACTCCAGTGAACACTACCCAGAGTGAACAATAACTCCAGTGAACACTACCCAGAGTGAACAATAACTCCAGTGAACACTACCCAGAGTGAACAATAACTCCAGTGAACACTACCCAGAGTGAACAATAACTCCAGTGAACACTACCCAGAGTGAACAATAACTCCAGTGAACACTACCCAGAGTGAACAATAACTCCAGTGAACACTACCCAGAGTGAACAATAACTCCAGTGAACACTACCCAGAGTGAACAATAACTCCAGTGAACACTACCCAGAGTGAACAATAACTGCAGTGAACACTACCCAGATTGAACAATAACTCCAGTGAACACTACCCAGAGTGAACAATAACTCCAGTGAACACTACTAAGAGTGAACAATAACTCCAGTGAACACTACCCAGAGTGAGAGAAAAACTGCAAGTGAGAGAAAACGGGCAATAACTGAGAGAACACTACCCAGGTGAACAAAACTCCAGTGAACAGTTCTAAAGGGCAAGGTGAGAGAAAACGGGCAAGGTGAGAGAAAACGGGCAAAGTGAGAGAAAACGGGCAAGGTGAGAGAAAACGGGCAAGGTGAGAGAAGTACTAGGATGATGGTGGCGGCCCTCGGCGACTCTCTCAGACGACACATAATATTCGCCAGGTGGAGATAGTTATAAAACTTTCCTACACGCGGTGTAAATTATTTTAAAACTTTGCCAGGTGTTGACTTATGACAATCATGCAAGTTTGGTGAGTTCTGCAAGTGAACACCAGGAGGTGAACACCAGAACACTCACACCAGGTGAACACCAGAACACTCACACCAGGTGAACACCAGAACACACACACCAGGAGGTGAACACCAGAACACTCACACCAGGTGAGGTGAACACACTCACACCAGGAGGTGAACACCAGAACACACACACCAGGAACACCAGGGTGAACACCAGAACACTCACACCAGGTGAACACCAGAACACACACACCAGGAGGTGAACACCAGAGGTGAACACCAGAACACTCACACCAGGTGAACACCAGAACACTCACACCAGGAGGTGAACACCAGAACACTCACACCAGGTGAACACCAGAACACACACACCAGGAGGTGAACACCAGAACACTCACACCAGGTGAACACCAGAACACTCACACCAGGTGAACACACACACCAGGAGGACATGAAAGACCACTGTAGGTGCTCAGCATGACACGCGTGTTCACGTAAGACCTCACTAGGGTGAGCCAGAACACCTCACACTCACCTTGTTCCTGGAGGATGCGTTGGAGCAGTTAAGGATCGCTGAGGAACTGTCAATATCTCCCATAAGATACTCCGACACTCTGCAAAGACAAATATTTATATATAATACAGATACAGATAAATCAGATAAATCATCAATTCAGCAAATTTAAAATACAATAATTATAATAATAATAATCGGTCAGATTTAACAGACATAACTAGATCGATAACGATGCAACTGCAAATATGAACAAGTACAATTGTTTTCAAATAAACTGAGAAATTGTGTGTATTTACCTAATTGTATTCACCTAGTCGTGCTTGCGGGGGTTGAGCTCTGCTCTTTCGGCCCGCCTCTCAACTGTCACTCACTCAACTGTTACTACTAATTCCCCCCCCCCCCACACACACACACTTGTACACAGCGTATGTAAGACCAATCCTGGAGTATGCGGCCCCAGCATGGAGCCCGTACCTTGTCAAGCACAAGACGAAACTTGAAATAGTTCAGAGGTATGCCACTAGGCTAGTGACAGAACTAAGAGGCATGAGTTACAAGAAAAGGCTGCGGGAAATGCACCTCACGACACTGTAAGACAGAAGAGCAAGAGGAGACATGATCACTACCTACACAATTTTCAGAGGAATTGATAGGATAGATAAGGATAAACTGTTTAACACAGGTGGTACGCGAACAAGGGGACACAGGTGGAAACTGAGTACCCACATGAGCCACAGAGACGTTAGAAAGAACTTTTTCAGTGTCAGAGTAGTTAACAGACGGAATGCATTAGGCAGTGATGTGGTGGAGGCTGACTCCATACACAGTTTCAAATGTAGATATGATAGAGCCCAGTAGGCTCAGGAACCTGTACACCAGTTGATTGACGGTTGAGAGGCGGGACCAAAGAGCTAGAACTCAACCCCCGCAAGCACAACTAGGTAAGTGCACACACACACAGCATAAGTGGTCTGGTAGCTGAGTGGACAGCACGCGGCACTCGTAATCCTGTGTTCGATTCTCGAACTAGGCAGAGACAAATGGGCAGAGTTTCTTTCACCCTGATGCCCCTTTTACCTAGCAGTAAATAGATATCTGGGAGTTAGACAGCTGTTACGGACTGCTTCCTGTGTGTGTGTACTCACCTATTTGTGTCTGCAGGATCGAGCGTCGACTCTTAGATCCCGCCTTCCGAGCGAAGTGTAGGGAAGGTGGTGAAGGGTAGGGAAGGTGGTGAAGGGTAGGGAAGGTGGTGAAGGGTAGGGAAGGTGGTGAAGGGTAGGGAAGGTGGTGAAGGGTAGGGAAGGTGGTGAAGGGTAGGGAAGGTGGTGAAAGGTAGGGAAGGTGGTGAAGGGTAGGGAAGGTGGTGAAGGGTAGGGAAGGTGGTGAAGGGTAGGGAAGGTGGTGAAGGGTAGGGAAGGTGGTGAAGGGTAGGGAAGGTGGTGAAGGGTAGGGAAGGTGGTGAAGTGTAGGGAAGGTGGTGAAGGGTAGGGAAGGTGGTGAAGGGTAGGGAAGGTGGTGAAAGGTAGGGAAGGTGGTGAAGGGTAGGGAAGGTGGTGAAGGGTAGGGAAGGTGGTGAAGGGTAGGGAAGGTGGTGAAGGGTAGGGAAGGTGGTGAAGGGTAGGGAAGGTGGTGAAGGGTAGGGAAGGTGGTGAAGGGTAGGGAAGGTGGTGAAAGGTAGGGAAGGTGGTGAAGGGTAGGGTAATTACAATGGAAACCAGTTGATAGGGGGTATAAATAGACACAAAGGGATGAGGTAGCTCCAGCTATTCTCACACCGTTCAGTATAAGGTGTTCCTATATACACACCTCACAAACACTCAACATATTGATGAACATTCTGGCTGATAAACATGAACAATTCTTCCTGTACACATCCAGTATGATACCAGACGTACACACAAATACTGTTACGACTACGTACATAGATATAACTTGCAATAGACATTCACACAATTCAACAAAATGTTACAATCTTGGTGCAAAATTCTTATATTTCCAGAATATCATTAATCTTTCCACTGTGACACATCCAAGTTATTTGTTCAGGAACAGTCCTTATCTCAGTGTTTCTATATACATTAATGAAGGGACAATCAGGAACATAATGGGTGAGGTGTGAGACCTTAACATAACACATAGTTTACACTTGGTGTCATTATCATCAACACCTGATTCACCTGAGGGCCACTAATACTAGTGGCCTCGACGAGGACAAGAAGCCGGCGGCTTGTAAACCTGTAAGATATGAGTCCTGTTCCACATTCCCAGTAATATCTGCACCCAAGCCTGAGCCGCATGTGCACACAGTCACTCCAAGTATTTCTCCTTTTACCATAAGTGAAATGTTGGTGTTTTGACTGACATACATGAAGTGTTGGACGGTTTGGCTTCCCTCCTACATTACACCTCTCCTCGCCACTCCTGTTTGTACCTCAATATTTATCATTTTTGCTTCTTATTTGTCTCATTGTTAAAACACATTCAATGTCAACTTGTGGTCTTAATGTGGCGCGTTTGGCCAGGTCATCCGCCGCCTCGTTCACCACTCTTCCAACATGACACGGAATCAGCTTTCAACTGTATCTCATTTATACTTTTCTTACAATCCTCAACTATGGACCTGAAGATTGGATTTTGACTGTTTAAGGAATCGAGTGCTCCTCGGCTATCAACAAATATAAAAACATCTTTTTTCGTCTTGACGTACTTCCTCCAAGCCGTTGGAAAGGAAAGATTAACCGAGTTTTATATTGAAGAGATAAGATTGGGAAAGCCCCAAGATGATGCAAACTGATCCTTTGATAATATGGTTTGGATATAACGGTCCCCTCCTCTTGGGGATTGTTACGGATCCGAGTCCAGCGTCGGAGCACGGAGCAGTGACGACAACGCCATCTGTGAGTCCGCTCCCGAAAACCCCTCAAAATGGACGACGCCATCTAGTGGTGACAGGATAGGCCAGCAATAAGTGTTGGATTCCTGTCCTAGTTGACTCGCGACGTAGCCGCTGCTGACCTCTGGTGAGGTAGTGCTTAGACAGTGAACGCCATCTATGGAGTGAAGAGATGGACGTTACTGTCTAAGCTTGTGAGTGAAGCATCCCAGTATTAATGACGTGTCTGATTGCAGAGTCGACCTGGGACTGCAGTGTTGGACGATGGACCAGTCTACCCAAGGCAGCCAAGGTCTCCTCATCAGTCTGCTTTGAAGAAGCTGTGAGCCATCCCTGGACGAACTCTGTTGAGAGTAATAGCCTGCCTGAGGAGTGGCAGTGTTGGGAATCGCCTTATCCGGGGTTGGCTGGTGGAGGAGACCACCCACTGGGGTGCTGTATGAGGAGAGGGACCAGCGAGTCACACGAGGCTCCTGGCTAGGGCACGCAACCCTAAGTATCGGTCGTGGAGTGGCCTACACAGCGGAGCTGATCGGTACCTGCCAGCTACAGGCTGGATTGTGGTTGAAGGCCTCCACGACGAAGCACCCAGTGGGACTGTGATTTGGCTGGCCTGTGGCCAGGGTAGATTCGTCGTAGAGTTATCGTGGATTCAGCGTGAGCCACAGAAGCCGAGACCAGGGCTACCTAGAAGAAGCATCACCGAGTGTTGAGCGTCTTCAGAGAGGGAGACCTCATTGTACATTGTGTAGTAATAATTCCCTTTTATGACTTTAAATTACGGTGGTGGAAATATATATATAAATTGGAATATTTGTATCCCTCCCCCTTTAGTTTGACTTGCATTATGGAACACACCCCTTGAAAGCCTCTACTAACTTGAGGCCGGATTCCAAAACTCTACTACCATCAGAGAAGAACCCGGTTGCGTCCCAGTAGGGCCGTAACAGGGATGTAGACAATACCTCTAAGATCGCACGGGGAAGCCTACAAGCTCTAGATGAACATTTCATACTGACAGACGTTGGACATAACGGCAACTTTCTGAGGACAATACGCGTAAAAGCATAAATTGGGTGAAGCTTATGAGATCCGGATGTTGCAAATCTTGCATCACAATGATGATATGACCTGATAACTTGCAACACCCAAAGCTTCCCAGCATTATGTAAGTAATGAAGATATATGATATATTTACTGACTATAATGTTGGTGCTGAATGTACAACTTGAAAAAACGTATCTTTTTCTCAGAAATAATACAATTTTATAACTTAATTGATCCATCTAACTACCCAAAGCCCCAACATTGTCGCTTGGATCGTTGACTTCCTGTGGCGTCACCTGCCTCTTAGTTTTGTTTAATTTCGTTATATAATTTTATTATTTCACAGTAAGCATCACGCCAATAAGACTTGGCGTGATGTTTTTTCAAGCTGGGAAGGGGGTCAGGATAACGATTTGGGATGAGAGGAGGGAGGGGAATGGTGCCCAACCACTTGGACGATTGGGGATTGAACGCCGACCTGCATGAAGCGAGACCGTCGCTCCACCGTCCAGCCCACGTGGTTGAGAGGGGAGGGAGCGTGATGGGGGAGAGGGGGGGAGAGAGAGAGAGAGAGAGAGAGAGAGAGAGAGAGAGAGAGAGAGAGAGAGAGAGAGAGAGAGAGAGAGAGAGGGGGGGGGGAGGATAGCGATACATCAACAAGGGTGTGTTTGAGACACGTAATATCGTTGCCATCACAATGTTATATGATAGCGATATGTTATCCTAATGTAGCACCACCACCACCACGCCGACGCCCCACCACCACCAAGAGCAGCAGGAAGAAGAGGGAGGGAGGAAGCAGCAGCAGTTGGTGGTAGAGGCACAATAATCAGAGAGGTTAGCAAGTCAGTGGTATAGAGCAGAGGAAGAGTATTATGTGAGGATATGGGGGTTATGTTTATTATGGGTGAGTAACCTGGCCTCCCTGTGGGACATTATGGGTGAGTAACCTGGCCTCCATGTGGGACATTATGGGTGAGTAACCTGGCCTCCCTGAGGGTCATTATGGGTGAGTAACCTGGCCTCCCTGAGGGTCATTATGGGTGAGTAACCTGGCCTCCATGTGGGACATTATGGGTGAGTAACCTGGCCTCCATGTGGGACATTATGGGTAAGTAACCTGGCCTCCCTGTGGGACATTATGGGTGAGTAAC